TCGTGCACTGAACCCTATGTTGCTGTCTCAGACAGCAGTGGCCACTGATGGAGACATCGCTGGGGTTAACTGCGTTCAGTTGTGCCTGAGTGTGTGATGTGACTATGGTAGCTGTTTTTACAGGACTGTGAAGGGCGGTGTGATGTTGCATTTGCCCGAGGGGGTGTCGAGTGTTGAGGTTCGTACTGCGTCGGTTGAAGGGGCGCGTTAACGTGGCCCTCAGGCGAGCGAGCTTTTGTGAACGCGCCTGTATGTGACTGAATGAACTGAGGTCAACTATGGGGGGGGGGAACGCCGAAGGACAGGGGACGCTGGTAGACCTGTTATCCATTAGCCAGAAGCAGCTGCGAGGTCAAGCCTCGGTGGACGGGGGCGCCAGTGGAAGAAAGCATTGTGGCAGTTGATTGTGACATGACTTCGGGGGAGCGAGCACTGGAGAAGGAAGGGGACAAGATTGCTGGATGTCCGCCATAACTCTCAGAGCCGAGATGACCGAGCAGGAATCAGGCGGAAGCCGCTTTCTCCAATGCAGGCCAAAAAACACCGCCTAACTTAGTCTTAAGTGACAGTAGCCTTTTGCGCTGGTACTACTGCACTATCTACCCTAACTCTCCTTCAGTAGGTGTGAAGACAGACTCGAGGAAACCGAGACTGATACTGCCATTACTGCTAATATATTTTTACTACTCTAACTAGCAATGCAGCTCAGTTACAGTATTATTGATACTATTACTGACGCTAATATAAGTCAGAGGTGACGCTGATTAAAGTCAATGCTGGGGCTCATTTCCCCTCGATCTCAACGAGGAGTATGAATCTGGCTTTCTGCTATTCCGATTAGAAACATGTTTTATGTCCGGAGCACATCAGGGCTTGCCTTGGTTACCGCCCTCTCGCCTCTTTCGACCAAGCTGTGTCAATTGCTACTAAGTTTTAACTAAGAGGACTAGGATACTACTGCTATAAGTAATATGCCTATGCTAATCCTGATAAGCATTCTTAGTTGGACCAGTAAATAGTATACTATAATGTATGTGCTTGTAGAAAATCGGCACACAGTATGCAATCCCAAGCTACATGGGGCAAGTAATACGCTTATGGGTTAAAGAATTGTTATAAAATAATAGCTCAAGTTCTACAATGCCTTTATGTCGCATCGTAGTGTCGTGCCATCTATCCTCGCTTTTAGTTGTGTCTGATAGAAGAGAGGGTGTCCTCTAGGTGGTATCTTAGTTGGTCGGCCCCTAGTATGCAGTCCCAGCTACATCGGGGCAAAATACTAATCTTATGGGTTAGCAAAACGTTATTAAGTAATAGCTCAAGTTGTACCATGCTTTTATATCGCAAGGTAGTGCTACGTGTCGTTTTCAGTGTAACTATAGATTTACATAGTTCTAGCTTGCGATTTGCAGAACGTCTCCTGTCTAAATAGGGGCACAAAATGCTCCAAAATCAACTAATCATAAAAACTTAGTATTTCCTGTAATTGTATCAACAGTTGAAATGCATCCTATTTTTTCAATAAGCATAACAGATGGGAATATCAGCTTACCAGCTTCCTCATCTTCACCTGGGCTGATTCGTAAGACATCCGGATGAGCCGTCTCGTCCAGCAGGTAAGACTGGCCAAGAGGAGACAATAATGACTGCCCGAGTCAGGCTTGATTCAATACAGCGGGACTACTATACATAGGATGTTAACTGTGTTCATCGGCTCAGCGGTTATTGAATAATCTCTGTCAGACTGTCACACAGACCTTACACTGTAGGATGTAGGCTATTAAACTCTGGTCTAGGGCTTTGCGCAGGCTTAGTTTTACCGAGGGCGAAAAACGTTTTGTGGCAAGTCTCCTGGGGAAATCTAGTCAAGTTTTATTAGCCTATGTTCCGGTATGATTTGTCTTTGTTGAATTCACGCCCATCCGGAATTCCGCATCTTAAAACTGTTCATTCTATTGCTTTTCAGAACATTTTCCTCATGGTGGATAACCAAGCATATTTTGGGCATCTAGTCAATCCGGATTCATACACAACTGACCACCTTTACAACGATCTCTGGCAGGTGTTCGACAATCCACAGGCAAGTTTTTCACGTCTATAAAGGTTTTCCTGTCTTCGTTTTCAACTTATTGGTAAGTACCTGGGGTATGTTTTTAGAGGCACAATTTTCAGGTGTGAACACTACGCTGCTTCCTTGCTGAACCGTGTAGTATTAAACGTCAATACTTGCATAAAAATTTTTCCGACGCGGGCATTCCTGACCCTAAACCTTTACTCTGGTTTCGGTTCAAAACTTTCGAATAAATACGAAAAGTTTTGATAGCGAGGATTGGGAATTTGTTGAGCATGTGTGGGCGTGGTCGTTTGGTTACTATTGATTGCATTTCCCGGTGCCGACTCCCTTAAGTTGCTCTGACTTTGATATACGTAAACAGTCTAGTAACCACCTTGAATGTGTGGTCGCCGCGTTTTTGGGTATTGCTGTCAATGCTCGTTTGCGTTGTCGCAGTGACCTGATTGCGGTGGATATGAAGGCGTCCATCGACGTCACTACGTTTCTTGAATCTGTGTCCGGGGGTGGAGCATGCCTGATATGTTTCTCAACCATGAGCATTCTGCGTTCCAGTCTCTTTACTATTTCAATTCTTCGTAGCCCTCATTGGCCGACACGTTCGTTTAATACTGGGCCTATGAGCTCTGACCCTCACTGCAGGTTTCTGCGATGGCCTATTTTATACAATTCTTTTTAACTTCCAGAACGTTGCAACGAAGTCCTTTTCTCGTATTTTTATCTTGTCATTATATCATTTAACGGGCCTCGTGAAATAGGCTCATTTTATGTCTTCGTGAAGTGACCACTCCATGGAATCCGGGCTTGATTCTGCACTGCAAGCGTTTTGAGCATACCGATCGAATCGGGAACCAAATGCTCTTAAAGCTGTTCTTGCCATTTTGCAAGTTATCTCAGAAGTGGAAGTGACCCAGGTTTGTCATTTGAGCTTCAGCAAATGAGTAGATTTAAACGCTGTGAAGAAGTTTGGTCGGCACAAGGACCTTTCATTTCGTAAGCTGTAAGTTGAGAAGGATGCTGTGGTTGCTCCAAAGTGACTGTCGCATTGATTGTGCTGTTCCAAAAGCCCAGACTTTATGATTCAACAAAATATTCCAGAGCGAATGAGAGATGTTCATTTTCAGTTAGTGCCAGTCCATTTTATACTTATTAGTATACTAATTAGTCCTTAATTTACGCTCCTGAAAAAAAAAAAAACTATAACAGAATTCCCGCCTAATGTCTGATTTTATCGTTGCGTTTTTTGTGTGTAGTCCTTGATGAATAAAGCCTTTCGGTACGTTTTTCTCGAAAAGTTTCGGAGAGTTAAAATATTTTTGTCAGTGCTTTAGCAATTGGTTTATAAGGTTATGTGGTCAGAGTTCTAGGGCAAGAAGACGCCAATGTATTCCGGCTTGCAGTCTGATCCACAATCATCACTACCACGTATTGTAGACATGCATATGAACAACTGATTTCAAAGGTCCTTAACTCGGTGGTCCATCGCTGAACTTCGGTCATTCTGGAGCTGCTGACCCTAGGTTAAATCCTTTATTGTCAAGCCATAGAGTTTTGCCTGTGTCCGTTTTGTATAGGAATCGTTTTCGAAATACGTTGGCAGGTAAATAGAATTGAATTTTGCAAAGAATGCAACATATGGTCAGATGTAGAATGCATTGATACAGGAAAGCATCGGCATTTTTTCTGTATGGAAACCAACTCATGAAATGGCTGATCTATAGACTTTTTTTCCTTTCTAAGGAGTGGGAAAAGAAATACATTCATCCTGGCTACTTCGATTTCTTAAACGCGTCCAAAGAAGCGTTCGAGGAGCCCTGCCGAGATGTCTTCTGGTTTCCCTTTCTGTCGGAGCGCTTCTGCAAAGAAATGATCGAGGAATTGGAACATTTTGGCCAGTGGTCAAACGGTAGCCCACACGACCCACGTCTGGACGGCGGCTACGAGAATGTGCCCACGATTGACATCCACATGCGTCAAATTGACTGGGAGGAACACTGGATACACCTTATGCAAACTTATATACATCCTCTTCAGCCAAGTCTCTATGAGGGGTACACTGACATGGTATGTCTCTGAGCACACGAGCAGTGTTGCATTGTGTTGAATTGAATTTTGGCCTCCTCATTTATACCAGTTTAAAAATTATAAGAAGGGCAGTTTTCCGTAGAGTTTTGTAAACATTACGTTTTTTATTCCAAACTGCTAGCCGACAGCGAGAATGAACTTTGTAGTACGCTACAAGCCGGACGAACAACCCTTACTTCGACCTCACCATGACGCCTCGACCTATACTCTGAATATTGCTCTGAACAAGCCTGGACTCGACTATAAGGTAAATACTTCTCCTGTCTTTTCGCCAGCTGCAAGATATGTGTATTGACACAGCGAAGACTGTAACTGAAGGACATTCGATTTTTGACCTGATTTCCGTATTGAAATTGCTACTTTATTGTTCACAAAACAGTGTTAGGTGGAAATCTCTAGACTGGCTTATCCCACCCTTTTAGACTGCAGCACAGGTTGGTTGAGAATCCCTCTTTAGAAACCGTTAAGTAAATTAGAAGGACTTCTGCAAGTTAAGTATATCACTGTCTCGACGTCACATTCGTCTTGATTGCTCGCCCTTTTCTGGGGCAGCTGTTATTAAATCTCCCTTGCTGTTGTTGACTATCGAAACTTAGCAACCGTTGTCATGGCGATGGACTCACAAGCCTTCTGTTCGGGGACGCTGACGTTCATCGGGCCCGCGACAGCCCCCCTTCCCCCCAATAGACGGAAGGAGCTAGCCGGAATCGATTAACTCATTATCGAGTGGAAGAACCTTAAGTGACACAATCGGAGCCAAGTCCAATTTAGCAGTATCAGTTCGATCGTTACAAGTGACAAGGCCAACCATAGTCTTCCGGTGTGGACGCGGCCGTG